TCCTCCTTTCCAACACAATCCCCCTCCCTTTCATCACACACTTCCTCCTGTACAACACAATCTTCCTCCCTACTATCACACACATCCTCCTGTACAACACAATCTCCCTCCCTACTATCACACACATCCTCCTGTACAACACAATCTTCCTCCCTACTATCACACACATCCTCCTGTACAACACAATCCCCCTCCCTACTATTACACACATCCTCCTGTACAACACAATCTTCCTTTGGTCATTCACCAACTAATGGGTACACAGAGAACCATTGTATGTATAGATTAATTTGGAAGCAGTAATACAGTGACTCCACACTTGCAGGAAAAAAAATCTGCTCTACTAAAAATCTACAGCTTACAGAAACATATTACAACATACCACAAGGAAAATAAAAGGTGTTTTGAAATTAAACAGAACTAAATGAATGCTATGATGGACATCTTCCGCCACAGGTAACAATCGTTTATTTACAAATAAATAAGTGTAAGTGTGGCTTGGGGTTGTGGAAGTAAAATTGGTGATGAATTCATATTCGGGAAGATCACTGACTGTGACTAGTACCAATACATAATCAATATATTTGATTACTAAACAACATTATAATGAACACAATATCACCGAGATATAATTCAAATTTTTACCAATCATCCTTTGATACTTTTTGTCTGTAAAACTGATATCATGATTGAGATACAGGTGAAATATCTATAAAACTGTTTACATACACTTAATGTTCAATACACGAAGAAAACTTGTCAAATATAAAAAGATATGTGTTCACTAATCTTACACTCAACAATTCCCAGGATAATTTAAGTGTATTCGGTATGCAGATCTAAATCGTATTCAGAAAAAAGCATGATAGTAATTTATTGTTCCTATTTTCATAACTTTACATGCATGTAGAACAATTTTTAACTTAATTTAAAAAAAAAAAAAAAAAATTTACACACACATTTTTCTCTCAAGTAAATTGGAATATTTTGAAGATTTGGAAAAAAAATTAATTAAAAATATGTACATATCTTCTTCATTCAAGTAAACTGGTAAATTTGGAAGATTTCGAAAAAGAAAAAAAATGTACATGCCTCTTTCTTTCAAGGAAATTGGCAAATTTGGAAGATTATGGTGAAATCATTGGATTATTTGAATAGGAAGACAAAGGTGCTACTATCAGGGTGGGCATGTTGTTAAGATTGAATGCAGTATACACACACATTTCATCATACAATCAGAAACATTTCAGTAAAACATATATTGGACATAATTCAGAACACATCATATGTCATTTGGGCAATACAATTTAGATATGTAGGGAAGCCATGATACTGTCACAGTGTGGTGAAAGCTAAGTAAAATATACCAGTCACAACAACATTGCCACGTCAAGAGCTCAGCTCAATCATCATTTTTAAATGACGTCTGGAGGAGTTATCCCCCTTGTTAAGGATTAAAAGTAGTCATCTGATTGACATGACTGGGAGACCAAACACAACCTTGTCCTCCTGAGACCTCCCATAGGGTAAGGATTATCAGGTTTCACATTGTAGACGTCTTTTTATCTCCACTTTGGGACATAGATGCTAAGAAGTCTGAAAATCTCTTCACCAGTTCAGAATTGATAAATAAACGGACTAGTGTATAATCAGATCTTTGAAATCAATGACAGCTGTAATATTTAAGACTCTCACACTCTCTAATTCAATAATTCCAACTACTGGTAACTTTGATTGCCATCTTTCTGAAATTTGATATGAAGCACAGTGACTGGTGGATCTAATGAATGAAACCATGAAAACAAATGGACACTCAGATATACTCACACACACTTTTGATTTACACTTCAGAGAAAATTTAAATATTAATGAAATAGCACAAGGGACTGAAAAATGATGGAACGAGGAACATACAATAAACACTAAGGTAATACAGTCAAAGGTGATAAAACAACACATGTGACAGATAGATACATCACGGGACATTAACAGGTATCTCCTAGAATAAAACAATGAATATTCAACAACAAAGAAAAAACTTTAATGCTTATTCAAAGATGGAAGGGTTATCTCCCTTCCAGTGACAGCAGCCAAAAAATGCACACCTGTACAACTTATTGCAACTACTTATGTGAAGTATTATCTTGTGGAGTTACCTGTGTGACATAAAAAGACCTATTCCAGTCATTTATAGAAAAGTAATACTTATCCTCTTATCTCTGTAAATTAGCCATAATACATTAAGGTGTTATGTGCTTGTGCAAAGTAACTTCTTGAGTGGTTTTGAGTAGTAATAATGTGTAAAAAAACACCTTTTGTACTTACTAATGTGCAGTAATGTTTTATGCTGTTACTTGTGCAAAGAAACATCCTGAGTGTTTATCTGTTTGATGGAACTAAGTGAAGTTACTTGTGTGCAGCATTACTTAATGATTTGACCTTTGTGTACCATGTGATGCTGACATATTAAACAGATGCAATGTCCAGTTACGGATGTTAAAACTGACCAGAAATGTTAGCGTATGTTATCAAAGACTGGTGCATAATACAGAAAATATTGCACAACTGCTAAGCTTTATTGAATAAGACAAAATTCTATTGATATATATATATCTACTTAACTGATAAACCATGTGTCATAAGTCCTGTTTCTGATCCTTTATAAGCAGTTCCTGTATACAAGGATCCACACAGTTCAACAGTCTGTCATCATGATATCACAGTAAACAAACTTGGGCTGTAACATTAGCAGATTCTGATCATGGATGCAATAAAAACAGATTTTCTCACATATCTCTTATAAAGATCTGTTGTAGCAATGCTCAATGATTGTCCAGCTGATATTCAGAGTAAAGCTTCAACATTATCTGGCCTCAGTGAAGGCCAGAGGATTACAGACCAGTGCACTATCACACAACAAGATATGCAGGAAGATTACACTGTTTCTGTTAAGGATAGTAAGCTAGGTAAGCTAGGTAAACAAGAACAGATGACCACCTTAATGTGGGGTTAATATGAATGAAATTTGTTGAGAGGTTCTCAAGATATTATACCAAATCAAGAAAGGGACATGAGGGGATGGACGGACATGGGTAACACTATATGCTCTCCCTCCCCTTTACGATAGTGAGGGCATAAAAACATGATTTCATTCACAATTACATAATTATTTCTTTAGTTGAAAATGTATTTGATTTAGAAATCCTGCTGATTTGATACTTACACTTTGGTTGGACTAGATATCTGGCAAAGATGTTTAATATACCTCATCTGAACCAGATCCCATTCTAAAGGTACATATTCACCACTGTCGTTGTAACAGATAATATAGAAATAATAAATAACGATTATTATTATGATCTCTGCTGGGTTTACATGAACACATTCATGGCAATACAATGTCAATAATCAGAAGTGCATTTATTTCTGTAGTAGCACCTGTGTGTGGAATACGGCAGACACATGCAAGGACATTGACTAGTAATGTTTAAAACTACAGCTTTTCTCATAACATCATCACATCACCCCCATCCCCTCCCACAAAAAAAAAAAGAGTATATATTACTGTCGTAAAAGTACTATCCCTCAGTCAGTATATAGGGTATTTGTATCTAATACACATTTATGTAGCTTAGTCAATATCATATTACAACTTGTCATTATAGGCGAAAACTGCTACAGATAATGGTATCATCTGCTAATCAGTACATATACTGTTATGTATATGGGGAGCAGTAATTTTTCAGCAGTGCTTAAACTTCTACCCTAATCAGCATATATACCATTATATATATGGGGAGCAGCAATTTTTCAGCAGAGCTGATACCACCACCCTAATCAGTATATATACTGTTATGTATATGGGGAGCAGTAATTTTTCAGCAGTGCTTAAACTTCTACCCTAATCAGCATATATACCATTATATATATGGGGAGCAGCAATTTTTCAGCAGAGCTGATACCACCACCCTAATCAGTATATATACTGTTATGTATATGGGGAGCAGTAATTTTTCAGCAGAGCTGATACCACCACCCTAATCAGTATATATACTGTTATTTATATGGGGAGCAGTAATTTTTTAGCAGTGCTGATACCACCACCCTAATCAGCATATATACTGTTATGTATATGGGGAGCAGTAATTTTTCAGCAGAGCTGATACCACCACCCTAATCAGTATATATACTGTTTTGTATATGGGGAGCAGTAATTTATCAGCAGAGCTGATACCACCTCCCTAATCAGTATATATATACTGTTATACATATGGGGAGCAGTAATTTTTCAGTAGAGCTGATACCACCTCCCTTATCAGTATATATAAGGGAGTTGTGAAGCAATACACTACATCAATTTTAAGCAAGAAGCCATGATAAAAAAAATCACGAAGAGATAAATGGCTTTCAGGAAATACAATAATCACTGGCTGATGACCATCATATCTATAAAACGTTTTTCAATATTTCCAACATCAACAATGCCATAAATATAATCTGATATTTTTTGAGTATTTACACTAGCTACCAATTCAACTCCCAGCTCCTTCCTCCTTCCCGTCATCTGAAGTGGACTCGATTGATAGAGATGGGTCCAACATAGCAGAATACAAGGTGATCAGATCGGTCTGGGCAGTACCACTATATATGGTACAACATGTATTCTTTGGCAAGTCAAAAGTCATACTTTACTGTCATGACACCTGAACAAACATAATATTTATGTGTCTGGGTTGTCTCCCTTCGCACCAATCAAAAACTACATAAATAAAATACACAGCAATATTTTTTCGAGACATCAATATAACAGTTTTCAATAAAAGACAAACATGATGGTATTCTACGACAACCTATTGCCATGATGACTAAGTGTCACATAACATCACATAGCCCTTAGCTAGTCAGGTTAGAACTGCAAAACAGTAAACACTACAAATATCACAAAAATATAGCTGTCAGTAAAACACTTCATAATCACATTATGACTTACAAATGTCCATTAAAAGTCCAGAAGAACGCAAATTAAAAGGTAATTTGCAAACCCCTAATTTGGCCCCTAAAATCGAGTAGATTTGCTGATCGGACCATCAGCTGTCAGTAGCACTTTGTCGTTGCAAACATAGCACCACTTTTTCCACCCAGACTTTATGTTGCTATGCAACACCGATACTAGAATCTGTTCAGGGGAGGTAACTGAGATAACATAATCAGCATCAGGGTCGTGATCCTGCTAACTCTTTGAGGCTGCTGAGGTATCCTTCATGTAGTATGTTGAGAAAATTGGGGTCATTCTGTAAAAATGAAAAATATAATTATTTTTTGGCAGATAATGCAAAACTGATAAAAAACTGTTGGTCAAAACTACTATTTTTAACTTGTTAGAAAGAGTCAAAATTCCTTGCAGGTGTCAGACTTGAAATTAAGAAAAAGCATATATCGAACTTTATATAAACAGACATTAAAAATTAAACATATGCAAATTGTTTTAGTTGGGAAGGCTGTTGGTCAAATCACTGTCTGTTCTACATCCTAATTTCATATATAATGTATAATTCATATAATAATGTATGTCCTTGACCTACTAAAAGTACTGACCTTGAGGAGATACAACATGGCCTGATGAAGCTGTTCCTTGGTAAGAGCTGCCACAGGGACAGACTCAGAGCTACTGGAACCCCCACTTCGATCTAGGGGATTACTTTCATCTGAAGCTGGAACCAAGAGCAGATGGTATAACATGGGTTGGAAGGTATACAGATAGACACAATAATACACCACCAGTTATAACAGGAACTGCTATTTCACAGTGGTACAGCCAAACAGAAAAACATTTTACAGTTTGGAATTAAAATATGACCTCTTCCACTCGTGTAAAAAAATCACCATCACAGTATATAGCCTGTATGATAATATAATGTTAATATTCCTTGTAGTGAAAAGATGTATGATGTCACTGCACTGACTGTGAGATGACTAGAGTCATATTTAATTGAGCTCCAGTGTTTCACTTTGTCATTCATAAGAATCCCAAAAAGACGTCTGTCAAAATGTTTCATAACACTGAACGATTTAACACTATATAATTATGTAATGTCAGTACAGTAAGTACCTGTCCTGACAGACATTCACATTAACCATGTAGACACATATACCTCGTCCTTCTAAATCCATTTACAATTACCACAAAAACCTTCTATTTTCCTTTATTATGATTGTTTGCCAGTAGGTATTCACCTGATGTTGTGTTGAGCGTTGAAGTAGGACCAGGTGATGCCTTTGTCCCTGGGAGTGGTACCGAGGCAAATGCCATGGGTGTGAGTAGAACATCTGACCCCATGGGTGCAACTGGCCCTTGGGGGAGGGCACTGCTGGCTGACCCCTGAAATTTAACACATCAATGATGAAATCTCCTCGTGGAGAACGGTAATATCCGAGGCATCTATATGTGATGTTGTAGCAATAGTTTTCCTTTTACATAGGATCTAGACATGACAAGAGATCTTGTGGGATCTTAGCATCCACTATTGGATGATGTTTCTTCTTGATCACACGAATCATTTCTCTTCTCTCTAAAATCAAGTACACACAATCAAGGGGAACAAATACCAATTGTCAACAATCTGAGAAAGCTGCCTGTCAGCCATGTTTTCTTCAAATCAGTCCAAACATGCAGAATGTTCAAACAGAACGAAATCTACTTCATAAAAAACCCATCCAGAAATTAAGAAATAGCAATAACAAATTTCCATTGTCAAAAGAAATGATAGCCTATTGTAAGTTATTATTTTTTTTTTTTTAAACCTTTTAAGCCTTTTAAGTTCCGAAATAAAAAAGGAATAATTACAGATAAATGGAAGCTTCGTATGAGATTTGAGAAAGATCCATCCAGCATATCTCAAGAAAAAATGATAACAAGATTGGTATAAGGATGGATGAGAGACAAAAGGGTGGGTGGTGCAGCTGTAATGCCTTTTACTTAAATGCTGAAGATTTGATTCAAGGAATGGATGTGAAAAGGTATGGGGTCACCTGTCTGACCAAATGGGTTTTCACCAAGTACTCCAGTTCCCTCCCCCTCCCCAGTAAGACCCCTTACATGCTTCCTTTGGGACCAACAAGAGTGATCAATACGTGTTTCGCAATGGTCATAAAATAAACGAAGTTATTTGAACATTAACCATCTCTGGATCGTGAGCTAAAATAGATTCTTACAAAGACAATGGTTTCCTGTGTAATATATGTAACCCTGACCTCACAAAAAATTTTTAAATAACCACCAGTATACAGTAGTTTGCTCTGAAATAATGCAAAATAGGAGCAAATGATATTCGATCATGTATTTATATGTCTAGTGTGTCTTATATCATCTACAAACATTTTTTTATGGTTTGAATTAAAACTATTTCATGCGAAATACAGGTCACAAAAAAGTGCTCTATATCTCTGATATGTCAACGGGTACAAACACATGTAAAAGATACAACATGCCTGGTGCTCCTCTGTTTACATACATCAAAGTTAATATCGTTAGGTCCTAACGCAAAAATAACAGCCATGTTTACACTAAAAATAGAGATCTATGATACACCACAAGAACAAAGTCGTGGAGGCGTCATAGTTATAATTACATTAGATGGACAGCGTTACAAAATTACTAGGGGAAAATTTAGTACTTTCACTTTTTGCTTGTTTCTTCTTTTTATTTAAATAGTCAAAGAAATTGACTGAACAAATTGCATTCTTTTTAAACAGCACTAGTGAAATACAGTGCATTCAGTCATGTGTCTGTTTTGGGAACATAAATTCTAGTCTGCTGATGATGAGGTGTCTAGCTCCACTCTACAACCTTAAAACACCTCATCAAACACCTAATCCATCTAACTTGTATTAATTTGAAATGCATCTTCCCTAAATATTCAAGGCGTAAAACATAAAACAGATCTTGGTATTAAATAATTCAGAGGTTTTTTATCAATTTATTGGGTTGTGTTCGAGGCATGCTGTGAAACCAGTCATTTAGCACTAGGTGATGAACACAACACATGCCTCAGTTTACACCTAGATGATATGGCCCTTTTACAACATGTTACATCACTATCTCAGCTTTTCATGTTTTTGTCACAGGAGCTTTTGTTTTTTGTGGTATATATATCATAGCCAACATAACTAGTACTTTACCACTCAGAATACTGATATGCTATATATGGTCTCTGAGAAAAGAGACTGCTCAGTCACACAGGTTACATAGACAAATGACCACCCTGTCACACATGGTCACATTAAAACCTGACCAGTCACACTTGGTCACTTAGACAAATAACCAATCACACCTAGTCACTTGGACAAATGACCAGTCACACCTGGTCACTTAGACAAATGACTGGTCAGTGATACATGGTCACTAAGACAAATGACCAGTCAGTGACACATGGTCACTTAGACAAATGACCAGTCAGTGACACATGGTCACTTAGACAAATGACTGGTCAGTGACACACGGTGACCTAGACAAATGACTGGTCAGTGACAAATGGTCACTTACACAAATGACCAGTCAGTGACACTGTCACTTTGACAAATGACCAGTCAGTGACATAAGGTCATCATAATGATAGTAGTATAGTACGTGGTGTAGGAGAAATACAGATTACACAGAGTAGACCTACCACATCTGATAATGATGGGACGCCTGCTGTCTTTTGTTCTAATGCTGCAGGTGTTAAAAGTTCACTACCTAGATGAATGGGAGCAGAATCTGTATCAGCAGAATGTTTGATTCCAGGTGACACAGATTTAGTCTGTCTTTTTGGGGTCTTTGACCCACTAGATAACAACTTTTGGATAACATCCACTGACTGAGCATCTCCATCATCCTGGTATTTGTCTTTGAGATCACTTCTCCCCCCTCGTGGGGACGTTTTGCCCTCCCTTCCATGGGGTTTTGAGCGTTTTGGTTCGCCCCTGCCATCTTGGGCTTTTCGACTGACATTCGGATCCTCAGCTCCAGAAGACACATGTCTAGAGTCAGGTCCTGCAGGATCCACCCACTGTTGACGTTCAATATCCTCTACCATGGAGCTTGATGACATGATCTGGCGCAGAAGTGGGGGAAACGTCTCCCCTGATGATGGCTGACTGGTCATATGTCGCTCAGCATCAGCTACTGACATGGACCTGCTCGGAAAACAGACAGTTAGCAAACATCATAACTTGTGTAAAAATCATCAACTTATGAAAGATCAGATAACTAAGAATATATCCTTACCTTTATTTTAAATCAGATAGCTTTTCATGTTTGGACATTTATAAGAAGAGGTATATTCATATGTAAAGAGTTAACATTTAAGCTTCATGTTCTTATATACAAAATTTACAGCAGATTTAATATTTACAAATAATTAGAGTTTACAAAAGGAACAATGGTTTCTGGTTCGAAAAGTTGTAAAATCAAAAAAATTTTAGGATTTAATTTGAATAAACTTGATGTTTCTTAACATCACGTAATTAAAAGGAAGAAGAAATCTTGTAGTCGGCATTCACTTCTAAATTTATGACCGTGAAAATATTTCAATTTTTCCTTTGGAAAATGTTTATTTCTGGAATATCAAAACAAAAGACCCAATGGACCTGTATTGCTCACCAGGCATTTGATGATTTTCACATAAACATGTAACACGGACATTCAAAGTGCATCAACATCAAAGTCAATTAAAAAATATTTAAACTGTTTACATTACAAGGTGAACATTTGTCTGGAGCTGATGGATCCTTATGTTGATCACATCAGTCAATGTTATTTATAAGCAGGTGAAGCCATCGGAGTGTTTTAACAAATCTGACAAATCATGATTCTAGGCCATTTAGTAATCAAGGAGAATGTTTTGACAAATTAAATCTAAAAGTTTAAAGATCAAAAATTTAACCTGTTGAACTGTAATGATTCTGTGATGTTTTCAGAATTTATTTGTTGAAATGTGATGTTATTGGGATGCTGTCGGTGATGTTTTTAGGATGCGCTCAGAACTTACTTAAGGAAATGTGATATTTTTGGAAAACTGTCAGAAGTTACCTGTAGATAAGTGATGTTTCTGGGAGGCTGTAACAAGTTACCTTTGGAACTGTGATGTTTCTGGGAGGCTGTAATAATTTACCTGTGGAACTGTGATGTTTTTGGGATATTCGGAAGGTCAGCCTGCTGAGTTTGCTGGAGACTGGCCGTCCTGAACAAAGTCTCCAAAGTGAGGGTGGCCGTGGGTGTGGTCGCAAGCTGGCTTTGTTCTGTCAATGTGAATATACTGAACTTAAACACTGGACAGTAAATTGATAGTTTGATACAAGTATTTATATAATATATCTTCTTTACGTAGTGAATACTACTGAATATTTCCATTCTTCCCTTGCCCTAGAGATGAGATAAGACACTCCTATGATCAATGATTGAGACTTTGTTAATAACCTCCCCTGTGATCACACTTACATCAGGGACTAAGAACAAGAAATTATTTGTAATCCTTTTATCTTTTTCTTCCTCCTCCATTCCTGTCCCAGTACTTCATAGCATTGTTATTTATTTTTGTAACCTGTGTCCACCTCTACCGTTTCTGTCCTGTTTTCTGACCTTCTATATCCTTTACCTGTAGTTTTTAGGATTATAACTTATTTTTCTTACCCGTGTCCTCCTCCTCCATTCCTGTTCCAGGAATCTTGAGGGGTTTTGGTTTGATGAGGTTTGAAGCCTTGGTGGCTGAAGCATTTGGATTGTCTATGAATGGTTTCGGATCCCCTCCTGGCACCTTACACTAGAAACAGTCAATGTTAAGATATCATGTAAATGTTTCAATATCTTTGACTATAGACAAAGAATATATCAATCTTGTCATCTGTGAATCTGTCTATGTGTAGGAAAACTGGCTGGTTAAGAGGTATTTTAGGGGAAATGGAAATGACAGAGTTGCCTTACCTTGTCATACTCATGCTGGGCCTTGGACAAAAGCTGCATGATGTCAACATTCCTGTTACCCATGGCGATGGCAGGTGTGGATGACATAGCTTTTGGTGTGGTAGTTTCCAGGGTCTCTTCCTTTGCCTTCTTGCTGTCTATTACCTGCTGTAAGAAGCTGTAACAAGCAGGAGAAGGGAGATAATTCATGCAAGGGAGACAATTAATGTTTCACAGTGAAGTTAGACAACTTGGGACCATCCCATTTATGGGTTTACCCTTCAATAGCTTTGACTTTGCTGTGAATCAGAGGAATTATTTACCACACTTAGGAATGACTGATACATAAAAATAAAATTTTACACTCATAACTTCAGTGATAACTAGAATCTCATTACACATGAATTATTCTATACAGGGTCTATATGGTCATTTTGTGATTTTTATCCTTGAAAAGAGTGAAAATTAGATTACCTTTAAAATAACAGCCTATACAGTATATCACATGACATTATTTTACTTCACAGGCCAGTACAAGGCAAGTAACGACTGCTATTTAGAGTGAAAAGTTAAAGTGAAAGTTAAAGTGAAAAATAAGGAATTGTCATGACACGAATATTCAAATACTAAATCAGATGTATATTCAAATAGTTCACTGGGTACTTTCTATCAAATTCCCTAGAACCTACACATTAAGTTTCAGAATTATACTTCCAGTACTTCTCATGAAATAGCGATAACAACCTTTAAATGCCAAAATCCAAGATGGCCACCTGTTAGCCATTTTGTTTTTCTGATGTGATTTGAACAGGCATATCTAAGGACCAAGGGGAACCTACACATCAAGATTATGAAATACCCTTTGAGTATATCTCAAGAAATAGTGATCACAATTCTATAGTGGAAATTCAAGATCGCCTACAGTTGGCCATGCTTTCTGGATCAGTCTTAAAATTAAATGGGCAAATCTTATGGACCTAGGGGAAGTTTGAGGAATCCAATCTTTCTCAAGAAATAGTGAAAACAAGAATTGTGTACAAATGGATGATGAATGATTGACCACAAACCATGGATGTAGAGTAATTTGAATAACCCACTATCTGATGATGGTGGGTATAAAAAGCCGGGCATTTAACAATTGTTTTCTGAAGGTAGCATAATGGAACCCTCTTGCTATGATTAATAAGTCTATCAACAATATGTACCTGTTCATCAGCTCACCAATCCGAGTACATTCTTCTTTGTCATAAAACCAGATTCCAAATATGGCTGAAAAGTTAAAAAGTACAACAATAAATTAAGATGTAATTAACACCAAAGATTTCTGAAATATATATTCATTGGTAAAATCAAATCAAATTAATTAAGCTCTTCCATGGTTATGTGGATCCTGATCACACTTGATATAACCTTGACTCCTCATTCCTGCTGATATAACCTTGACCCCTCATTCCTGCTGATATAACCTTGACCCCTCCTTCCTGCTGATATAACCTTGACCCCTCATTCCTGCCGAAGTAACCGTGACTCCTCATTTTTCTTGAAAAAAAACTTGACTTCTAAGTCCTCCTGAAATAGTAGCATTGACACCACTTTCCTGCTGAAGTAAACTTGACCCCTCATTCTTACTGAATTAACCTTGACCTCTGTTTTCTGCTGAAATAACCTTGTTCCTTCACTTCTTCTGAAGTAATCTAGACCATTCATTCTTGTTGAAATAACCTTGACCCTTTATTCTTGTTGAAAAAACTTTGACCTTTCATTCTTGTAGATGTAACCTTGACCCTAGTAAAAGAAGATGCAACCTACATCTCATACAATTTTGTAGTACAGCCATGTATTAAGCTGAAGCACTGTTGGAATTCTAATATATGAGCAAACAAATACTTAAAGCCTATTTATTAAGTTGCTATATTATAAAAAAAGAATTTATATCAACCAAATTTTTCTTTATTCAGTCTGAATCTTCTGTAAAATAAATTGTCAAAGCCTTAAATTTTGTTAATTTCCAAATTTTTCTATTATAATTTGGTTTATGAACTTTCCCCAAAGTCAATTTTAATTCCTCGGTTACATAAATGACGTTTTGCTAATGATTTAAGTGGTAATAGAAGGTGCTCTGTCGGCGGGAGGTAGGACAAATCCCCTACATCTAGTACACTCAACCCAAATAGTGCCAAAATTCTCATGTTTTTTGTAGACTTTACGCTACTGTCAACAGTTCTAGGTACACAGGATCAGTCCCAAGCATTATGTAATACTGCCAGCTCCAGCAGACTGGGGAAGTTAATGCTGCAATCAGCTGGATACAGATCTCTAAACCATCATCATCATAGACACTCTAATGAGGCTGCACTACCCATGTTCACTGGCAGCATACCAGATAAAACATCCAGGTCTGTCTTGTTGTCCTTCGATTAACATCCACAAACACATGTACAGATGCAGAAGTGTAAGAAATATTGAGGAATGTAAAAACAACCTGTCACAGGAGAAAAATAACAAAAAAACGCCATGGATAATTCAAAGAAAACATAAAAACAAATTTCCAGTGCTGATTACATATATCTCAAGGTTAATTTATCCTTCAGTTGACTTGTCTGGAGTAGCAACATCAAACATCATTTTAACAAGACTCTGTCTACAGGAAATTACACACAGGTCTAAAGGTAGGATCAAAGATCTAACACTTAATTGCCAGATTCTAATGATCTCATGGCAACATCCCAGATTATTTCTAGATCTTGTTTTCACAGATCTCCTGATCTGTGAAAATACTACAGATCTCTTGGTGAGATCAAAGATCTGACATTTTTACATCCAGATTCTTCAAATCTCTTCGTAAGATGATAGATCTGACATTTCTACCTCCAGATTCTACAAATCTCTGGGTGAGATCATAGATCTGATATTTATACCTCCAGATTCTACAAATCTCTTGGTGAGATCATAGATCTGATATTTATACCTCCAGATTCTACAAATCTCTTGGTGAGATCATAGATCTGATATTTATACCTCCAGAATCAACAGATCTCTTGGTGAGGTCATTGATCTGAGCTTTCTACTTCCAGATTCAACAGATCTCTTGGTGAGGTCATAGATCTGAGCTTTCTACCTCCAGATTCAACAGATCTCTTGGTGAGGTCATAGATCTGAGCTTTCTACTTACAGATTCAACAGATCTCTTGGTGAGGTCATAGATCTGAGCTTTCTACTTCCAGATTCTACAGATCTCTTGGTGTGATCATCGATCTGATATTTATACCTCCAGATTCTACAAATCTCTTGGTGAGATCATAGATCTAAGCTTTCTACCTCCAGACTACTCCAGATGCCTCAGATTCAACAGATCTCTTGGTGAGGTCATAGATTCTACAAATCTCTTGGTGAGATCATAGATTATACCTCCAGATTCTACAAATCTCTTGGTGAGATCATAGATCTGAGCTTTCTGCCTCCAGATTCTACAAATCTCTTGGTGAGATCATAGATCTGAGCTTTCTGCCTCCAGATTCTACAGATCTCTTGGTGAGGTCATAGATCTGATATTTATACCTCCAGATTCTACAAATCTCTTCGTGAGATCATAGATCTAAGCTTTCTACCTCCAGATTCTACAAATCTCTTGGTGTGATCATAGATCTGATGTTATCACTGTAATTGTAAGATATGTGCCAAATCACTTCAATATCAGTTATACAAACATATTACACATATACTGTATTAAACTAAGAAAAGTAAGATTGTCAATGAAACTGATGAATACCTTAGAAAACAACTTTAATGGACACAAAATTTTATCATTTGGTATACTACACATCATCTTATTTATGACCAATGTATACACTATGTTTCAGATCCTTGCTTAACTTTGGGGCAAAGTTATGCTTTGTATATCTCGGAGAGCATAGAAATATGAATAACACATTACTGCTCCAAATCCCAAGCGTGTAAGTATCACCATTTGATTTTTGCAGAAATAGTTTGTTGGGTGGGTGTGTAGGTAAGTGAATGGATGGATGGTTAGATGGATATAGATTTAACTATCTACATGCCCTCCTCTCCCCTAAAATGGTGAAGGTAGGAAAAATCTAGCTTGTAAATCATAACAAGATTCATTTTTATATCAGGGGTGGGGGTTGGGGTGGGGGTTGGGGGTGGGGTTAGGGGGTGATATAGTTCTATATGATCAGTGTGGTAGGATGATGACAGACTAGAACAAATATCATACAGACAAGACACTGTGATATTACATCATACAGCCTCACACGATCAACTCGAGTCTAGAAACAGAGGTGACCCAAATTGACATTTACCATAAAGAAATATAAAATGTTAAGTGGAAAATTATCAGCTACATTCCCCCTATGAATAGAGAGTTGAGGAGAGTTGATTAATGGAATTGTAATTCTGTAGAAATTCCTTTAGAGATGCTATTGTTTATAACAGTACAGCAGCCACGCGCTCTTGTTTGTTGTAATATCAGTCAGCAGGAGCAATATTACTTCTCTAATCTAAGTATGATAATCGTTACCCTGAAAACATGTTTCATTTACCATGCAAAGTCAATATGTGTGTAACCTCAACATGTCTTGAGTAACGGCTATATAATTTTGCTAACAGGAGAGGGACAGTGCACAAGTTGGTTTATTTACTGATTTTTTGTAGGCCTTCACACAGAACCACATATGCAAGACCCATTGCAAGCGCCTTGCCCAAGGATGTAACCCTGTCAACATACTAGTCGTTTTGTCAGCTTCAAGTGAAACACGATCTGCCATGGCTAGGGAGCATCACACTGTACACCTAGGAGATTCACCAGGGGTTATGTAGGCCAGCACTCTACTGACTAAGCTATCAAACCCTCCTCACACAATGCACAAGTGCCAGACTTGGATTCAAACTCGGGACCTCTTATGTTATGGAGATAAGCCAAAAAGTGTACAATATCTACCAATAAATAACCGACTTGGCTACCTGGTCACCAATAGTCAGCCTAACAAGTCCCACATCTGGGATCTCCTTGTCAGAAATCTTCAATTGTGCAGTCTGACAGTCATTTTTATTACTGATGTGTAAAATTGTACTAAATTGGTATGGTATTGTCGGATGTTTCCGAAAACGCTTCTTCAAATTGAACATTGCTCAGTGTCACTCAGATCACAGCAGATATTCCCTTGCAAAATGAAGCACAATATCGCTTTATAAACAATCAGAATTTTTATCGAGTTTAGTAATTACAGACATGGTTACTTTCCTTTCTAGACTTTGCTTTTTTGTGGTTCATACACCTTTTGGGTCCACTTCTTTTCCATTGACTGTATATGGGTAAACATTCGCTCTGGACTTTCTTTCATCCTCAAAGAAAACTTTTCATATACATCCAATCTTAATCTTGCCCATAAGTTTATTAAAGTCATACTTGCAGGTTTTCTAAATCAAACTTCAGCACACAGCTTATTTTTGCTATGTTGATAAAATTGTGTAATAGGAGAAGTGTACCTGTATACAGCATCTCAATTTGTCTCTAATATTGGTTTCCATCAGTAAACTGTACCTGTATACAGTATCTCAATTTGTGTCTAATACTGGTTTCCATCAGTAAACTATACCTGTATACAGTATCTCAATTTGTCTCTAATACTGGTTTCCATCAGTAAACTATACCTGTATACAGTATCTCAATTTGTCTCTAATACTGGTTTCCATCAGTAAACTATACCTGTATACAGTATCTCAATCTCATACTGGTTTTCAGTAAACTATACCTGTATACAGTATCTCAATTTGTCTCTAATACTGGTTTCCATCAGTAAACTGTACCTGTATACAGTATCTCAATTTGTCTCTAATACTGGTTTCCATCAGTAAACTGCTATTATTTATCCCTTTTAGTCTGTTTCCATGGGTCTCCTCATTTAATTCTGTGTGTTTTTGTGTTTGTTTCCAATGTGTCTAATAATGTTATTTTCAACTGTCAAGAACGGAGGCTTCGATTGGCTGTAGTTTGTGTTTTCTTCTCTCTTCTTTCATTGGCTACAGCTTGTGCTGAGTCCCAGAATTCCCTTTTGTTTACAATGGCAACGTGTGTCAGATGAAGTGTCAGCAATAATTAGTGAGTAGTCACCATGGTAAAAGTATTGAAAATCTTTTGAAAACGGTTTATTTCAAGTACTTTTTCAAACAACTGGCCCAAGTTTTCATGTGATATTGAAAATAAAGGACACCTCAAGTGTCTGCTTGAATCAATCCCATTTGAACTGAACAGTATTGTTCTAATTAAAACACCTGCAATGTTGTAGAATAATGTACAAATGCATGATGTACTACAATGTAGCAATCGCTGAATAAAGACAGTTGAATTCTTTTGTGAAAAACACAAAAAGAACTTTACAGGAACATCTCATGGTAAATAAACATATCAGCCAATCAAAATTAAAGGATTGATAGCCCTGACCTGTTGTATTTTCGAAGTGAAGACTAGTGAAAAGTAGAAATACTAGGTCTGACTATATAGTCTATATCCTATCAGCCCCTTCTCTTCACTATCATTCCCCTCCCTATCTAATTAATCCCTTCTCTAATCCATCAGCCCCCTCCCTATCTAATTAATCCCTTCTCTAATCCATCAGCCCCCTCCCTATCTAATTAATCCCTTCTCTAATCCATCAGTCCCCTCCCTATCTAATTAATCCTTTCTCTAATCCATCAGCCCCCTCCCTATCTAATTAATCCCTTCTATAATCCATCTGCGCCCTCCCTATCTAATTAATCCTTTCTCTAATCCATCAGCCCCCTCCCTATCTAATTAATCCCTTCTATAATCCATTAGCCCCCTCCCTATCTAATTAATCCCTTCTCTAATCCATTAGCCCCCTCCCTATCTAATTAATCCCTTCTCTAATCCATCAGCCCCCCCTCCCTATCTACTTAATCCCTTCTCTAATCCATCATTCCCCTCCCTATCTAATTAATCCCTTCTCTAATCCATCATCGCCCTCCCTATCTAATTAATCCCTTCTCTAATCCATCATTCCCCTCCCTATCTAATTAATCCTTTCTCTAATCCATCAGCCCCCTCCCTATCTAATTAATCCCTTCTCTAATCCATCATTCCCCTCCCTATCTAATTAATCTAATAATTCCCCTCCCTATCTAATTAGTCCTTTCTCTAATCCATCAGCCCCCTCCCTATCTAATTAATCCCTTCTCTAATCCATCATTCCCCTCCCTATCTAATTAATCCTTTCTCTAATCCATCAGCCCCCTCCCTATCTAATTAATCCCTTCTCTAATCCATCAGCCCCATCCCTATCTAATTAATCCCTTCTCTAATCCTAATCTAATTATCCCTTCTCTAATCCATCATTCCCCTCCCTATCTAATTAATCCTTTCTCTAATCCATCAGCCCCCTCCCTATCTAATTAATCCCTTCTCTAATCCATCAGCCCCCTCCCTATCTAATTAATCCCTTCTCTAATCCATCATTCCCCTCCCTATCTAATTAATCCCTTCTCTAATCCATCATCGCCCGCCCTATCTAATTAATCCCTTCTCTAATCCATCAGCCCCCTCCCTATCTAATTAATCCTTCTCTAATCTCCCCTCCCTATCTAATTAATCTAATCCATCAGCCCCCTCCCTATCTAATTAATCCTTTCTCTAATCCATCAGCCCCCTCCCTATCTAATTAATCCCTTCTCTAATCCCTCATTCCCCTCCCTATCTAATTAATCCTTTCTCTAATCCATCAGCCCCCTCCCTATCTAATTAATCCCTTCTCTAATCCATCATTCCCCTCCCTATCTAATTATCCTTTCTCTAATCCATAATCCCTTCTAATTAATCCATAATCCATCTGCCCCTCCCTATCTAATTAATCCTTTCTCTAATCCATCATTCCCCTCCCTATCTAATTAATCCTTTCAGCCCCCTCCCTATCTAATTAATCCCTTCTCTAATCCATCAGCCCCCTCCCTATCTAATTAATCCCTTCTCTAATCCATCATTCCCCTCCCTATCTAATTAATCCCTTCTCTAATCCATCAGCCCCCTCCCCCCCTCCCTAGCTCATTAATCCTTTCTCTAATCCATCAGTTCCCCTCCCTATCTAATTAATCCCTTCTCTAATCCATCATTCCCCTCCCTATCTAATTAATCCCTTCTCTAATCCATCAGCCCCCTCCCTATCTAATTAATCCCTTCTCTAATCCATCATTCCCCTCCCTATCTAATTAATCCTTTCTCTAATCCATCAGCCCCCTCCCTATCTAATTAATCCTTTCTCTAATCCATCATTCCCCTCCCTATCTAATTAATCCTTTCTCTAATCCATCAGCCCCCTCCCTATCTAATTAATCCCTTATCTAATTAATCCTTTCCTAATCCATCAGCCCCCTCCCTATCTAATTAAATCCATCAGCCCCCCCTCCCTATCTAATTAATCCCTTCTCTAATCCATCATTCCCCTCCCTATCTAATTAATCCTTTCTCTAATCCATCAGCCCCCTCCCTATCTAATTAATCCCTTCTCTACACTATCAACCCCCTCCCTATCTAATTAATCCTTTCTCTAATCCATCATTCCCCTCCCTATCTAATTAATCCTTTCTCTAATCCATCAGCCCCCTCCCTATCTAATTAATCCTTTCTCTAATCCATCAGCCCCCTCCCTATCTAATTAATCCTTTCTCTAATCCATCAGCCCCCTCCCTATCTAATTAATCCCTTCTCTAATCCATCATTCCCCTCCCTATCTAATTAATCCTTTCTCTAATCCATCAGCCCCCTCCCTATCTAATTAATCCTTTCTCTACACTATCAACCCCCTCCCTATCTAATTAATCCCTTCTCTAATCCATCATCGCCCTCCCTATCTAATTAATCCCTTCTCTAATCCATCATTCCCCTCCCTATCTAATTAATCCTTTCTCTAATCCATCAGTTCCCTCCCTATCTAATTAATCCCTTCTCTAATCCATCATCGCCCTCCCTATCTAATTAATCCCTTCTCTAATCCATAATTCCCCTCCCTATCTAATTAGTCCTTTCTCTAATCCATCAGCCCCCTCCCTATCTAATTAATCCCTTCTCTAATCCAAGCCCCCTCCTTATTAATCATTCCCCTCCCTATCTAATTAATCCCTTCTCTAATCCATCAGCCCCCTCCCTATCTAATTAAGACCTTATTTAATACTTGTTCACAGCCGATATCTAATTAATCCTTTCTCTAATCCATCAGCCCCCTCCCTATCTAATTAATCCCTTCTATAATCCATTAGCCCCCTCCCTATCTAATTAATCCCTTCTCTAATCCATCAGCCCCCTCCCTATCTAATGAATTCCTTCTTTAATCCATCATCCCCCTCCCCATCTAATTAATCCCTCCTCTAATCCATCAGCCCCCTCCCTATCTAATTAATCCCTTTTCTAATCCATCAGCCCCCTCCCTATCTAATTAATCCCTTCTCTAATCCATCAGCCACCTCCCTATCTAATTAATCCCTTCTCTAATCCATCAGCCCCCTCGCTATCCCGTTAGTCATTTTCCTATCCAATCAGCTCCTTCTCTACACTATCAGCCCCTTTTTAACCCATTAGCCCCTACCCTATCCCACTAGCCCCTTCTCTATACTATCAGCCCCTTCTTTAACCCATTAGTCCCTTCCCTATCCCACTAGCCTCTTCCCTATGCTATCAGCCCCTTTTTAACCCATTAGCCCCTACCCCACCATCCCCTTCTCTATGCTATCACCCCCTTCTTTAACCCATCAGCCCCTTCCCCATCCTGTCACCTCCTTTCCTATCAGACCCACCAGTTACACAAATCTGATTAAAATCCGCTCAGTTGTTCCTTCGGGATGCTCAATCAAATTGTCTCAACCAAATCCTTGTCTCTTTGACCACTGTAATGAAAACTTGCTTCGATTTATAGGCTGGCCATTGCAGCTTGTCTAACTCCCTTACTTATGTATTTGTCTTATTTATAGAACATTACCAAGTCAGTGTCAAAACAATTATGGCCCTAAAGAACAAAACACGCAACATTCAAGTATGATTGTCAATGATAGGTGGTACGATGGAGGAAGAAGAGGAGACAATGAATGTCACCAGAGTTGGAGAGATAATTATTTTTACTGCAACTGTGGATTCAAAATAGTGTCACAGAACTCTATTGGGAATCAGAGAAATAGAGGTCATATATGGTAGGCAGAGAGGCAGTACTTGTTCTTGTTTATGTCAAAATTAGACATCGTTGTAAATATGGAAAACACAAACACTTGTACCTACAAACCTGATGACATTTGTGATCTTAAATTCCTTTGTCAGGACCTTAGCTTCTTTACCTACAACTCTGAATTGTCCATGTAGCATCAGACTTAAGGACACTGACCTCTGTACCTACAAATTTGAGGACGTTTGTCCATGTAGCAAATTTGAGGACGTTTGTCCATGTAGCATCTGACTTAAGGACACTGACCTCTGTACCTACAAATTTGAGGACGTTTGTCCATGTAGCATCTGACTTAAGGACACTGACCTCTGTACCTACAAATTTGAAGACGTTTGTCCTTGTAGCATCTGACTTAAGGACACTGACCTCTGTACCTACAAATTTGAGGACGTTTGTCCATGTAGCATCTGACTTAAGGACACTGACCTCTGTACCTACAAATTTGAGGACGTTTGTCCATGTAGCATCTGACTTAAG